AAGGCTGAAGTGTACAGTGGGAGCGCTAACTCTGAACATCCATTCAGAGGCCATTTGAATTCTTCATGTTACTTCCCCAGTGCTTGTTGACCATTAGAACAGCTGTGTTTAGACAAATTCAGGGCAATCCCAGGGAGGGGCAGTTAGCTCTCAGGAAGAAATGTAGTTGAAAGTAGATTATGTAGAAAGATACTACACAAAGAACTAGGGAACTAGCCTGGGACATTTACCCAAAGTAGCTAATAAGATGCATGTTATCTAGTTTAAGTTAAAGATTGGGGTCCTTGTATTGTCTTGTAGCCACCTTGTGACTATGACTCAGGGTCAGATGATCATGAGTCATACCCAGACCAGCAAAGAGCTAGGTGATGATAGCTCCAGAACCAATCCTGTAACCTTTCTTAACCTGCAATTATGTACCTATCCCAAATATGGTCCTCCCCCCAACCCCCTACCCTCCACTTCTGTAGCCCCACCTGTGACAATAATGATGAACTGACCTGCCACCAATCAAGATCTTGTGATGATTTTGCTTTCTCTCATATTTTTTAAAAGCAAGGCTGTGATTCCTTCAGCCCCTGTACTATGTGCATCCTGATGGTTTTCCTCATTCTGAGGATTACGTTTGTTTTGTTTTTGTCCTCTTTAAGGCTTAATAAAAAGGTATCTGTAGAATATGTTTGAATCAGGGGTCTTTTTGCCCTAGCACAAGGGCAAGGTATGAGCATCAGCAACTGTAGCAGATGCTGTCAGGGCTCTGTAGTACCTAGATCCCTTTACCATTTCCATCCATGGGGACTCCTGGTCCCCATAGTCTTTGTTGAAGAGAGGCACTCAGGCTATTGGAACAGCTTTGCCTGTGCACATGGAAACCATAAGAGCTTAGGAATTTATATATCTTTGTAGCAGTCCTTAACCAATGAGTGACAGGGGCAACAATATGAATACCCCAGCTCTCTTTCCTCAGATCAGGAAAACTCTGAGGTGACCAACACTCTCTCCAGAGATCCCCTGCAGAATTGAGCCAAAGTTACCTCCTACCTACTTCACCTTCTGGAGCACCTGGGGCAGGCCGGGTAAGCAGTGCGCTGGGAGCGCAGGGCAGGCAGGTGTTAGAGTGACTGGGGAAGGCCGGGAAGTGAGCAGAGCAGTTTGGAACAGCTAAGGGAGACAAACTTGTCTGTCAGTTTGTCATACTGTAGTGGATTGTGTTTTGCTGTGAGGCTGGAGGCTATGCCACTGGTGTTTCAAGGGGCAGCAGGGTTACCCATGATGGACAGATTTCAGTGGAGCTTCCAGACTAAGACAGACTCAGAAGAAAGAAGAGGACATCCACTTTTCAAAGAATTGTCCAGAGAAAACCTTCTGAATAGTAGTGAAACACTGTCTGATATATTTTTGGAAAATTTGATGAATAGCCCTGAAACACAGTCCAATATAGTGCCAGAAGATGAGTCCTTCAGGTCAGCAGGCACTCAATATATGACTAGGAAAGAAGTGCCGCCTCAGAATAGAGCCGACCTTAATGATATGGATAGAGTGAAGCTTTTGGGACCTCCACTTGCTGATGTGGCATGACTCAAGATGAGAAGAAACAGCTGCAAACATCCATAAATAATCAGAACACAGAATGTATGAAGTATGCATCTAGGGAAATTGGAAGTTGTCAAAAATGAAAGAATGCATAAAGATCTATATCCTAGGCATTAGTGAGCTGAAATGGACTGTTTTTGGCCATTCTGAATCAGACAATCATATGATCTACTATGCCAGGAATGAAAAATTAAAGAGGAATGGTGTGGCATTCATCATCACAAAGAATGTATCAAGATCTACCCTAAAGTACAATGCTGTCAGTGATAGGATAATATCCATATACCTACAAGGAAGACCAGTTAATACTGTTGGTGTGTCGCTGTTTGCCATCGAGTTGGACCCGACTCATAGCGACCCCTCCTTGGGTTTCTGAGGCAGTATCACTACAGAAGTAGATTGCCCAACCTTCCTTCCAAGAAGTGGCTGATAGGTTTGAACCTCCAGCCTTCTGGTTAGCAGTCAAGTGCCTTAGGCGCTATGCTACCAGAGCTACTATTCAAATTTATGTACCAACCACCAAACCCAATGACAGGAAACTAAAGATTTTTACCAACTTCTTCAGTCTGAAACTGACTGAACATGCAATTAAGATGTGTTGATTATCACTGGTGATTAGAACGCAAAAGTTGGAAACAGAAGAATCGCCGGTAGTTGTAAAATATGGCCTTGGTGCTAAGAATGATGCTGGAGATCACATGATAGAATTTTGCAAGACCAATGACTTATTTACTGCAAATAATTTTTTTCAACAACACAAATGGCAGCTATACACGTGGACTTCGCCAGATGGAGTGCACAGGAATCAGATTAACTACATCTGTGGCAAGAGGCAATGGACAAGCTCAATATTTTCAGCCAAAACAAGGCCAGGGGCTGATTTTGGAACTGACTGTCAACTGCTCATATGTAAGTTCAAGTTGAAGCTGAAGACAATTAAAAGATGTCTACAAAAGCCAAAATATGACCATGAGCATATCCCACCTGAATTTAGAGACCATCTAAAGAACAGATTTGATGCATTGAATACCAATGACCAAAAACCAAAGGAATTGTGGGATGACATCAAGAACATCATCCACGTAGAAAACAAAAGGTCCTTAAAAAGGCAGGAAAGGAAGAAAAGACCAAAATAGATGTCAGAAGAGACTCTGAAACTTGCCTTTGAACGGACAGCAGCTAAAGCAAATGGAAGAAATGACAAGATAAAAGAACTGAACAGAAGATTTCAAGGAGCAGCTCAAGAAGACAAAATCAATTATTACAATAAAATGTGCAAATGTGGAGTTAGAAAACCAAAAGGGAAGAACACGCTCAGCATTTCTCAAGCTGAAAGAACTGAGGAAAAAATTTAAGCCTCAAATTGACACACTGAAAGATTCTATGGGCAAAATATTGAATGATGCAGGAAACATCAAAAGAAGATGGAAGGAATTACACACAGTCACTGTACCAAAAAGAACTGGTAGATCTTCATCCATTTCAGGAGATGGCGTATGATCAAGAATTAATAGTACTGAAGGAAGAAGTTGAAGCTGCACTGAAGGAACTGGTAAAGAACAAGCTCCAGGAACTGAAGAAATATCATTGAGATGTTTCAATAAATGGATGTCATGCTGAAGGCAACCACTCGGTTATGACAAGAGATTTCTAAGACAGTTACCTGGCCAACTGACTGGAAGAGATCCATATCTGTACCCATTCCAAAGAAAGGTGATCCCACAGATTATGGAAATTATCAAACAAAATATGGTGTAGTGCCTAAGGCATGCGACTGCTAACCAGAAGCCTGGTGGTTCAAACCCACCAGCCACTCCTTGGAAGGAAGGTTGGGCAATCTACTTCTGTAGTGATACCACCTCAGAAACTCAAGGAGGGGTTGCTATGAGTCGGATCCAACTCCATGGCAGTCTGCTGTGCTGTGTTGCGTTATCATTAATATCACATGCCAGTAAAATCTTACTGACGATAATTCAAAAATGGTTGCAGCAGTATATTGACAGAGAACCTGAAGAAACACAAGCTGGATTCAGAAGAGGATATTGAACGAGGGATGATGTCAGATGGATCTTAGCTCAAAACAAAGAATACCAGAAAGATGTTTACTTGTGTTTCATTGACAAGTATTCAACTGTGTGGATCAAAACAAATTATGGATAACACTGAGAAGAATGGGAATTCCAGAACACTTAATTGTGCTCACGAGGAACCTGTATGTAGAGCAGGAGGCTATCGTTTGAACAGAACAATGGGATACTACATGGTTTAAAGTCAGGAAGGGCGTGCATTGGGTTTGTATCCTATCACCATACTTATTCAATCTGTATACTGAGCAAATAATCCGAGAAGCTAGACTATATGAAGAAGAACATGGCATCAGGATTGGAGGAAGGCTCATTAACAATGTACAATATGCAGATGACACAACCTTGCTTGCTGAATGTGAGGATGACTTGAAGCACTCATTGATGAAGAATGAAGACTACAGTCTGCAGTATGAATCATGCCTCAATATAAAGAAAACAAAAATCCTCACAACTGAACCAATAAGCAGCATCACGATAAATGGAGAAAATATTGAAGTTGTTGAAGACTTCATATTACTTGGTTCTACAATCAACAATAGAAGCAGCAGTCACGATATCAGATGTCATATTCCACTGGGCAAATCTTCTGCAGAAGACCTCTTTCAAGTGCTGAAGAGCAAAGATGACTCCTTGAAGACTAAGGTGTGTCTAACCTGGGTCAGGTTATTTTCAATCACCTCGTATGCATGTAAGAGCTGGATAACGAATACGGAAGACTGAAGAAGAGTTGATGCTTTTGAGCTGGGTGCTGGCAAAGAATACTGACAGTACCATGGACTGCAAAAAGAACTAACAAATCTGTCCCGGAAGAAGTGCAGCCAGAATTCTCCTTGGAAGCAAGAACGGCCAGACTTCGTCTCACCTATTATGGTGATGTTGTGAGAAGGGACCATTTTCTGGAGAAGGATATCATGCTTGGTAAAGTGGAGGGTCAACGAAAAAGGGGAAAGCTCTCAACAAGATGGACTGACACAGTGGCTGCAACAATGGGCTCAGGTATATCAGGGATTGTGAGGCTGGCATAGGACTGGGCCATATTTCGTTCTGTTGTACAAAGGGTTGCTATGAGTTGGAGATGACTTGACAGCACCATCACCTTACCAGCACTGTGGGTCTTTGCTTAATATCACACCATTGCTTATCCCCCTTCCCTTACCTGTGCACTTGCCCACTGCCCTGTTGGATTTTCTTTGGAAGATGTGCTGATAAACCATGTTCAGTGAATCCTCATCTCATGGTCTGCTCCTAGAAAACCCAACCTAAGACAGCAACCCCTAAAAGCACACTCTCCAGGACCTTTACAAAGGTTCTGGCACTGACCTTCATCTTTAATGCAAAGGGCATTGTAGGTGCCACCAGGAACTGGGTTGCTCTCAATTTTCACATCGACAGCTCTCATGCTTTGCTGCTCACCACTCCCCTTGCTACACACGGTTGTCCTGAAATAGACAAAGACAACACTGGGTTAGAAGATTTCTTCTGGGTTTTTAAAAAAAAAGGGGGTGGGGTGGGGAGTACAATTCTTTTCTGCTGGCAGTGTTTTACCAGCAGAGATCTTCTTATTCATGAGCTTTGGCTGAAAGCAAAATACTCTCCCCGAATACAGGTCTAAAATCAGAGAGGTATAGGTGATGCTTGAGCTGAAGTCATATGTTATCAATTCAAATTTCAGAGGCAATACCTTTTAACATGGACTAGAACATAAAGACAGAAGGCCAAAAAAAAAAAAAAAAAAAAAAAAAAAAAACTATGAAACCTCTGGGAAATGGAGTCTGGG